GTAACCCCACTGCAAAAAAAAAAAAAATTCATGAAGAGACAGAAGCTCTCATTTTCTCTGAAACGAGAGTCACATTTAAGGCCATTTAAGTTTTCATCAATAAATGGAAAATCTTCTACAAATATTTTGAAAAATGTTTAAAAAGAGTAATAGAGGCACTGAAAGTGTCTGTTTCCCCACAGATTCACGTCTGCACTAGAGAACCCTACTCTTTCCATCTGTGCCAATCTGATAAATGAAACTGTTATTTTAATTTGCTTTTAATTACTAGCGAGGCCAAAAGCCTGTTGCCAAGGCAGGTACTTTTCCATTTTGTAGTCACTCCTGCAGCATCCTTGTTTGTACGTTAATGACAGTAGAAATTACAGAGAATGAACTAGCATGAATCACAACATTACGTTCAATTCAACATCTGTTATGTACCTTCTATGTGCTTCACTGTTAAGTTTTTCTTCTCCAGAAGACAGTGAACTCCTAGATGAGAGATTTTACTTTGTTCATCACATCCAGCAAGTCCCACTTTCTTTCGGACTGTAAGACAGATAAAGTCACGTATGGAGGGCTTGCAATCTATCAGAAGGGAAGGGAGCGTGGCCTGGCCCCCAGCAGGATGACTGCATTTGCTTTCCCAGGTGTGCTGGTGCTTTGTCCCCACCCTTTACCCCTCTGCTATGGGACCAGGAACTGAGAGAGTTAAAGTAACTTGCTCAAAGCCAAAAAGCAATTCATGGCAGAGCAGGGACTAGAACTCAGGTTTTCTCTCCCGTCACTCTGTCATTAGCACTATGTTGCCTCAGATCTAAACTCAAATGATGGCTTTTTATTTCTGAACTTGCTCTTGATTTTTCACTGCAATTACTGCCGTTGGGTTGATTGTAGCTCTCCAAGTAGATTTTTAGACCTCCAGAAAAGGAATCACTCCATCCTCTGCTGATTCTTCCATCTATCGTGCCTAACACGGGGCTGCCAGTCTAGAACGTTGCTTGGGGGAGGCTGTGTCTAGAACGTTTTTAATAAGAACACTAGGAGATTATTTGTTATATGCGATAGCTTATCTTTAATTTTAAAGGAAGTGGGTTTTTCTCCTTCCTTGCTCTAAAGCATTTCTTTAATAGTCACTGAGTGATTTGGAGTGCGTTCAGTTTGGTCTGAGCTTCATTTGGTGATTTTTAAATTTTTTACTTTTGCCATGATTAAAGTCTATAGTAATTTCTCCTTAGAGAGCAACTGATTAAAAAAAATTCCTCATTCCTTTCCAGTCACCAATTAGAAAGCTTAATCTAAAATGAAAAAAAAATTTTCTACCATAACCAACACTTACAAGCAATTCCCATTTCATCTAACATGGTGGTAAGAACCTACATTTAAATCACCATGGGAGGCTACATTCTTGAAGGAGGAAAGAGAAAGCTAAAAACCACCAGTGAGAAATTAAAAAATCCTGCTAATCACAGTTGCTTTTCCTGAGGGGAAGAAAAGAAATCACCCCGCTTAAAGCCACCCAAAGCCAGGAAAACAAACTATGACCAGACAGTGTCCCGTCCACAGCACTCTCACTTCCTGTCTGGATTAGAAGACAGAGATTGTCGCCAGACCAAACACCCGGAACTGATTGAGAGTGATCGGTGCTTCTTCAGCAGTCCCGATTATCACTGTTAGTTCTGGGATCTTCGCCATCACCTGGCCCTAGCTGATAAATAATACCATTATTCTTCTGCTCTCGAGCTCAGGTATAAGTCTCAATTAGGGGGAGATTAGATTTATAAGTGATGTAATTTAGAATTCTAGGCTCGTAAGTTAATGCTTCAGAAATGTCTTCTTTATGTTTTCCAGAATGATAAATGGGCAGATCCCTGGCACAGCTCCCCATCTGCTCACTTGATCTCCTTGCTTTTGATGAAGGCCTTATTATGCCGGATTCACTACTGTTTGTTGTAGAAAAAGCAATGATTTGGTGCAGACAAGAAAGGAAAGATTAATTTTAATGGCAGAGGAGAAGTGGTACCTTTGGCAAGATAAATAATACTCCAGAGTACTTAAGTTATAGCAGGCTTTGAATTGGTATTTTGGAAAATTATACTTTAAATATATTTAATTACATAAACAATTAAAGCTCATATTTATGTAATGTTTTACACATATTGTCTATTTAACACTTTCAACATCCCAATGTGGTGTGTGTTACTATTATGCCCATTTTATAGACAGGCATAGAGAGATTCTGCAACGCTCATGTTTATGCTTCTTCTTAACACTTACATGTTTGCTGTTTAATCCCCACATTGGCTATAGAGCAGTTTGGGGTGGTGATTCTGAGCAGAGAAACATAAGAAAAAACACAGAGAAAAATGGTTCGTTCTAGGTCACTAAGGCAAATGGTGGCATCTTCTCATTGGCTCACCTATAATCTCACTGCAAAGACCCCCAAAATGTCCAAGAAGAGGCAAAAGCTTTCATTTCTTTTGAGACAAGAGTCACAGGAACTATTTAAGTTTTCATCAGTAAATGGGAAATCTTCAAATATTTTGAAAAACATTTAAAAAGAGTAATAGAGGCACTGAAAGTGGAAGGATAAATTCATCTTCAACCATCATTTGAGACCTGGGCCTGTGTGCCCACAAGTTCACCCAACTGGTGAGAAAATAAGAGCTCATGCTAACTGGGAGCCCACTATGCAAGAGGCTTTATACCAGTCACTTTACTTAAATTGTTTCTCATCCTCACAACATCCTTCAGGTGGTTAAATCGATGCTGAGGTAGGTGTTGCTAACTGTGCCATCAGTGTACCTGGGGCACCCCTTCCACCCAGCACTTACTGCCTTATTTTGAAATTAGATTGATGCCTTCTTGACAATTCGATGAATACCAAGAGCAGAAGCAGTATCTTCATCATTGTTGCACACCTAGAACTTGCCAAAATGTCTAGTACTTCATAGTTGCTAAATGAATGTTTATTAAAGAATATTTGGCAGCAGCATGGAAGGACCTAGAGATTATCAGGCAGTGAAGTAAGTCAGGCAGACAAAGACCTGTAAAGGTGTCTAAGAAAGAGAATTTGGAGCTAAGAGTAGCAGGAACACCATTATTGGCTTAAAGAATAATTTGTCTTTTGGGACTTCAAATTATTTTGAAATGAAGTTGCTGTTAACGCTGAGAAAGGGAAATTGGCCACTTAAGTGGGCAGTGGACTACGTCAGCTGGAGCTACAAAATCCAACTTCTGCTTCTGCTGTTGCTTCTGCTGTTCTAATCTCTTTGGCCTCCATCTTCACTGTTTGGCTCTTAATTTCAAAGAGGGGTCCTCTGATGTACAGCTATTTCTCCTACAGGCAACTTGAGAATGGGACCCAGGGACCAGTTAAAACATCTGTCCCTTGGTTACCAAGACTGAGGTGAAGAAAGAGGGACAGAAACCAAGAGTGGAGCCGACTCAGAACTGAACTTGGTAGTAGATGAATTTAAGGACAAGGCACTATTCTAAGCACTGGGGACTCAATGATATGCACATTAAATAAGGTCTCATCATTCCTGGGCCACATGTTCCAAGGGGGAAGATAGTGAATACATTAACAGATGAATATACACTATGATGTCAGAACTGTGAAGCATCATGGAAAAAAACCAAAACAGGACAAGAGATAGAGCCTGATATGAAGACGTCTCTGAAAAGGATTGAGGATTGGCATTGCATCTGGGGAACCATGTAACTATCTGGGGGACACAGAGTAGGAAGGCCCTGAGGTGGGAGAGTGGCTGTAACTTATAAGAACACTGAGAATGCAGGTGTGGCCAGGGCAAAGTGAGCAAGGATCAGAAATGAGGTGGGAGAGATAGCCAGGGGCTGGATGCACGGTTTTCTGGGACATGATGAATACTTGGGATTCTACTGTATGTGTAATGAGAAGTCATTAGACTGTGTACTTTGGACAGGAAAGTGAAATGATTTGCTTTATGTTTTAAGAGACTCACTCTAGTTACCATAAACAGAAGTAATGAGTGATTACGATGATTACTTGTACCCAACTGAATAAAGCATTTGTAACAAATTTTGATAAGTAATCAATAAACAAAATGGTACATGTTGGAAATGTATTTCTTAAATGAGAGAGATGGAGCTGCTTTTTTGTTTCAAGCAGTTTATATACCCATAAATGAATAATCCCAGAGAGAGATAAATTTAGAGCCAATTATATTCCTATTTTTCTTTTCATAGTTATAAGCTTTGTGACACCTACTTCTCATAATTAAAGAGATAGGAGAGGAACATTTTTATAGTAATGTTCTTCAATTTTTAAAATTCCTTTTAAGCTATTAGAGATTACACTGCAATTTATTATTAAAATTACTGTTGATGGTCTGTCAATTGATAACTGGATTATGCCCTCCTTCAACATTGTGTCATAAACCAGAAGCCTCCCAACTTGTAAAAGGACTTGTTACTCAGTCGTTGGATCCCTCAACATCGGTGCCAATATTTTGAATCCTTCCTTTGACATTTTGCGGATTTTTATACCTGTGGCAATGAGCCAAGTTAAGGTTCAATGACAGAGAAGGGCTGGTTTCTATTTTGTTATGGAGCAGAAGACAATGGCAAATTGTCACCCTGATCAAAGCAGATCTCTGGCACATAAGTCTAGGACAGAGTACATACACTAACCTGAAATCTAGAAATTGATTCTTCTAAAGCTGGGCTTGCCTGCCTACACCTTGGAAAGTCTGTCTGCCCACTGCTCCTGTTGGTGAGCTCATAAGGGTATGTGTAGTACTTCATTTCTCTGTACCTCTAGTCCAAGCCAAATGTCTGGCACAGAGTTGTTATTCTTTTGTTAAACAACGAGGGAAGTGGGAGCTGGAGTGTCAATCTCAGGTTTTCCCATTCTCCCATATTTTTCCTAATCCTCGCTGAGATGGAGTAATTGGAATGTGGAAACATTTTCTGCCTAGAGGGGTACCAAGCCGTGGGTTATAACGTCAAAAACATAAACACAGAAAGATGCAAGAAGTTGTTTTTATTACCCAAGGAGGAGAGTTGCAACCAATGAAAGGGACAGTTTGTGTCAGTTTTCCTGTTTGGCGTCATGGTTTCATTACAGTCACGGTCAAACAATTAGGTTTTCATTCTCCCCCTTCTCAGATCAGGCGGCAGCAGCGAGCGGTGGTCCAGTCTCCTGGGTTACACTGGCAGTGGCACGTGGTTTCCTGCTGGACATCCCAGGAACCACAGCCATAGCCACAGGCACAACCAGTGACAACAGTCCCTACATGGGCACACAGAACATAGACATCAGAACCTCTGTTTCTGAGAGGAGGGAAATCCTCCCAGAATCATCTTTTATCCTTATGCATCCCAGAGGTAGAGTTAGGTTTTGTGGGGTAGAAAACTAATTCAGTTTTAAAGGTCCTCTTTAAGGAAAAAAATACAGACTACTGTAACAAATTTAAGTACGGGGTCATGGAAGAAACCCGCAGAAGTGAGAGGCCTGGGCGTTTCTGATTTCTTAGGGTCATGAGAAATTCATTTTTGTGCTGGCCTTTAACCACCAAAACAGAACAGGGAAAGGGAGATGAAAGACAGGGGACCAGAACAGGACTATTGAAGGGAGGAAAGGCTGGGTGTGCAGCCATGAAAGGAGGGTAGGAAGGGAAGAGGCAGAAACCCAAGATTCCTCAGTAGAATCCTTAAGCAAAATGGGAATAGGAAGGGATCTCTGGGAACAAAGAGTTTTGACTCAGCCTCAGGATAATACAAATGTCAGGTTGGGGAAGGTGGAGGTGTTGAGGGATAAACAGAGGAGGGCACGGGGCATCATACCCACCACTCCTCCTCATGGAGTTACTCACCTGCAGGGCAGGAAGACAGTTTGCCTGAGTTCTTGACACTGATACATGAGATTGTCTTTTGGTGGGCAGAGGGATTGAGCTCTGAGTAGGAAGAAGGGACATTGCCCATTATCTCTGTCTCCCATCATCCCCTTCCAAATCCTCTTCTAATTCAGAGGTGAATTACTCACTAGCTTTTAAGGTTAAGTTTCTTCATTTGTAAGATGAAAGTAATAGTTGTACTTAATTTCTAAAGTGAAAATTAAGTGAAGAAACCTAAAGCTTTGTATTAAAGTTCATTCATAATGAGTGTTCATAATATAGCTATCCTCCTCCACTTCCTCCCTTCTCATCATCAACATTATCAACCTCATTATCATCAGAGAAACCTGGATTTTTAGCCAAGAGTCCAAAAGTGATACAGGAGTGGAGCTAGAGAAGAAGTTAGGGCTTAGGAACAGAAGGCATGATCAGGGGCTATCCTCCCCTCCCCTCCCCCACGCCGCTCAATCCCACACAGTACCTAGACCAATGAGAGCATCCTTTATCTTTTTATCTACAATGGAGTCTAAGGAATCATGAGCAACTCCTAGGATCAGCAGCTGGAGAAGGGGGATGAGGATGAGAAGGAAGCAGGAGGTCCTCTTCATCCTGTAGAAACGCCGTGCCCTGGGGCTGGGAGAAAAGATGGAAAGAAACAGATCTCAGAGCTCCAGCATGGTTGGGAAAGAAGAGAACGTGAAGTCTCAAGAGACCACAGATGGAGGAACATCAGCGTCAGTGCAGAGGAGCCTGGAGCTCTCTAAGCAGTTTGGAGAATCAGGGAGCATGGGTGCAGAGCACTTACTCACTGAAAAGGTCAGAAAAGGTCTGCAGAGACTGGTCAGGTAAGGGTGTTTTATATCCCGTGATATTGACGTGGGCACCCCTTAACATACAAGCATCCACCCACATACAAACACACTCCCCAGCTGATTTCTAAAGAACTGCCCCTTGGCATATGGCACACAAGCATGGTAAACTTCAGTGTGTCCGAGACAAGCAGTAACTGCCTTTATTCTGGTTCTCTGCCAGGGGGGAGACCTCCTGCCTTTCTGTTCTTTCCTCACCTTTCTTCTTGGCAACCTGATACGGCCAACACCTGGGCCTTCTGTTGGTTGTCCCACACTGTGGGTCTCTTATCTGATCCTTCGTTGGGAGGAGGTGGCTCTATGGTCTGCTGAATGAGGGCGCTCCTTATCACCTGTTTAAACAGCATTTTATACTTGTCCTTGGCTAATCCCACCCATAGGGAAATAACAGAAAACCTGATTAACGCTGGTTTACAGACAAGGAAGCTTACTATTTACTTAACCAGAAGTGTGGTGCTTGATTCCAGGGTTCTTTTGGAAGCTCAACAGAGAATATTAGCAGTCTGATCTCTTCCCCTTTTTCTGTACTACACTGTTTTTTGACTTGTCGTCCTTTATATCGTGTCTCCTCGTGGTCATAAGGTGGTGGGCAACACATCCTCACCTGAGATCCTGAGAAGGAAGGAAGGATTGGGGTAAGGCCATTCTCTTTGGAGGCTTTGCTTTTTCATTTGAGAAGCAAGATTTTCTCCTAGAGGATCAGGCAGATTTCTCCCTACACTTC